TTGGGCAGGTTTTTTGCTTGGGAACTTTTTGTGGTAATTAAGCATCTATGGTTCTATGAATTGAACCACAGAAAATCTATTTCCCAGGAGGGTGCCACGAAATTGCTTTTCTAGGCACTTTTTTGCACAACAGCCCACGGCCTAATATTATTAACTAATGTATACTTAATTATAGAATTAAAATGTAATATTAATTGGTAAGGAGTGTAGTATAGTATAGTATAGTATGGTATGATATGGTATATTAAAGACCATTAAAGTATAGCGTATAGTATAATAATTGTAACTTTTATTATTTCCTGAGAGAATAGATATATATGTAATATGTTAGAATAGTGTGGCTTGTTTCTGTACTGTAGATGGCATGAGTGATACGACATTGGATGAGCTCATTGAAACTTCCAAACACTCGTTCCAAACATCGAAATTTCACGGGAGAACTACTGAATATTTTGTCTACGAGTGTTCATCTTCAGATGCCAACGACGGCAGGTAGACCTTATACACTTGGAAATCATGACGTACAACGACGTACCCAAAACATTCCCGCTGGACCTAATATTTTCGTGATGGAAGGCTCACATAAATGCCAAAATATTTTGGTCGAAAGAACAATGCAAAATATGGCTAAAACGATATTACTTTACGACTTATTTGTGAAATATTAAAGCGTTGTTCTGTTGGCTAGAACGTTCGCTTTGATTATGGCTGGGAGAGATTATTCTTCATATCCTCCCGGTCTCGAAGAGGATTTAAAAGCTTTGGATTTAGAACTGGATGAAGGTACGCATTTTTAATTTGACAACACTGTGTTTCTATAAATTCGCGACAGAGTATATTGTCTAATGTCTATAATTGGCTTGCCAAAATTTTTAGCTATTTTCTATGTTTGTCTTCTGCTGTATTTTTATAAAATACGGTACATTTTGCAGCCTAGCTAGTGCCCTTTAATACAGTAATTCGTAAAATAAATACTGATAACTATTATGTATATAAAATCTGTTCAGTTTTACGTAAATATATGTTATGACATACTGTATTAGCACTTGAACATTGCTGTCAATTTTTTCTAATATAAAGCTAAATTCTCCGCGTTTCCGAACTACATTAGCCGAATGGCATCGAAGGAATGTCATTCTTTATTATTTTTAAGTGTTTTCAGCGCTAAGGTTACGGAATTTCAATGATCTGTGACTAAGTTTTGACTATCGAAGAAACTTATGTTTAATAAATAGAACTCAACAAGATTTCCTTCCCGAGATAAAAGCTTTCTGTATGTGCTCTCTTTCATGGTCTAATATAATTTCAACTCGGCATTTTGCTATTTAAGCTTTCTATTTAGTATTTCGGCCTTTTTATGGTAATGCAATAGCCAAATTTTAAGAGGGAAGGAAATGAACTTTAATGCAATTGTGATATTGATTGAATTTCAAGTATGTTTCACAGTATATAAGACGTATACAAAATGATATTAAAAATTTAACTAAAACACGAGGAATTTTTACATAATGCGGTTATTATTAAAAATACAAAATATAATAAATGTATATATGTTATATAATTTGTTATTACCCTGCGGAGAGGGAATTGTAGTTTGTAAAACCCTGTGGTGAGGTGACACTAGAGTATTTTGCGCGTGATGTTTTTAATTGATTCAGAAAGGGTGGCTAATTGTTTTTAAAGGTGACATTACTCAAAAAGGCTATGAGAAAAAGAAGGCTCGAATTTTGGCAAAAGTACAACAAGGTATGTTGTAATGTTGATAAGATTAAAGATTTTGCATAGATTAGAATAAAGTTATGCATCTTGGGATTGTTACATTTGCAAGATTATCACTGTAACATTAGACTGCGAGCGGTCCCTCCTTTCTGCGGGTTTAGATTTCTGGGCATGCGAAAGGAAAGGAGGGACTGCCGACAAGACATCAAGAAACGAAATACGCGTTGCCCACACGACGCAAAATTCCCATTGGTCGAAATCGATATGCCTGTCAATCAAATCTGATACATAGTGATTATGCTATAAATAATTTCCAGACTGAATGTTGATTTTATTAATAAACATAACATTAACGGTTCCTATTGGATAGATTTAATTGGATATAAGTAATGTTTATGCAAAGGCGGAGCCAACTTTGACAAGAGCGAAAAGTGGGCGTATTTCATTTGTTGATATGTTGTTGGCGGTCCCTCCTTTCTCCCGAGGAACTGCTCGCGATCTACTGTAACATGTATGGGTATGAATTTGTAACATTTTAGCAATTAACTGATTTTACCATGCATCAATAGTAATGTGTAAACGTGGAGATATATTTTTCACTGGTCCCTGGCCACGCCCCAAATGTATTTTTCACTAGCCTGTCACTTGTCAAGTAAAGTAATTTTAATTGGCCGGCTGACTAAGGTATAAAAAAAGTACCTGTGGCTCCGGTTTCATATCGTGAAAAAATTAGGGTAGGTAGGTCGGAATAATATTTTTTTTCTAATATTTTTTTCTAATATTTTTTCTAATATTTTTTCATGGTTTTGGCTGTTTTTTGCTGGGCAATTTTCAGTAGAGTCCTGACATCAATATTAACTAGAGATGCATAGTTCCTACGGACAAATCTAGGCAATTTGGTTCAATAATTATTGTGCACGCCGTGGGTTACACGGTCAATCGCGTTGAAAAAAATAATATAGTTGGCAGAAAAAAATAAGGTCGGTTGGGAAACCGGAACTATAGGTATTTTTTAGGCCTAAATACAATCGGTTGTAACCATTTTTTAAACTTTCGGCAGCGATTGCAGAGAGTATTAACTATCAAGATAAAACTGTATTCCTGTGCAGACCATGATACATGTACGATTTCTTCATTCACACCAGATTTTAATATTCTCAACCAATACATAACCTGCTTGTTTACAGGGAGCTCTCTAGCTAGGGCTACGCATGTAAGGTAGTAGCAGACACTTGGGGGGAGGGTGGCAAATACCCTCTCAATAATTTCTGGAAGTCTTTGCAATGTAGCCCACTAACTGTATAACAATAAGCTGGTACAATAATTTTTCAACCATGAAAGCATTTGTAGACTATAAAGATTTGTGTAACATTTAAGACAATGAAGATTTTAAATTAATAAGAGATTTTTTCGCTATGAAAGGTGCTCAAATGATGACAACCTAATTGCCCACGCCAATATTCTGCAAAGTGTCCACCACTGATGTAATGGTGGGCACCTCTATTACCCCGCCTCCTCCTGAGAGAAACTGCTTATGATTGCTAAATGCTAAGTATATAATAATTTTTTGCACATTTACAAGTCCAACATATTTTGAACAGGGCCACCACCCGAACCTCAAGCAAATGACAGACCTGAACGAAGTCATTTTAAACCTGGTTCAGACTCCCCATATCACCCACTTCCTGGTAAGTACATTTTCATACAACACCAATAATATGTAGTATTTGTTTGATAAAATATTGACAGATTATCTGTTTGGATGAACTTGACAGATGTGTCTACACATTAAACATAATTTATATTTATGATGAAAATATGTAGTGTTGCGTGTAGAAGTAGTACAAGCTGCATTGGCCCAACGAAAATCTCAGATTGAATCACACGGACCTTCACCTTTCAAACGACAGTCTTTGAGACAGAAAACACAAACTGAGCTGGAAGAAGGTACAGTATGCTTGACATTAGGTCATTCCAGAGAAAATATCTGCTGTCCAGAAGGGAAGGGTGTGGGTGTTAAATTAACTTCCAATTCCCTCTGAGGGGTCGTCAGGGTGTTAGCCAGAAAAAAAAGTTTTGTCCGTTAAATGTAAATTGGGAAAGTTTTTTTGACCGATCAAAGTCCTTGTGTAGGAATAAATTCCAACGTGTTTCTCCTTAGATGCAAACAACAGTAGCTTGGTTTTGTACATTTCATTTCCGGTGAATGAACACTGAAAAATGCACCCGATGGCACTTAATTTTGTATATTTCATTTCCGGTGAATGAACACGGATGCACACCGATTACACTTCGTTTTGTACATTTCATTTCAGTGTGAAATGTGAATGAACCCAATATGAATGGAACGCGATACATTTTGAGAAAATAGTTAATGGGAAAAATTAAATAAAACGTTCTTTGATATAATAATATAAAATCAAACGCAATGCACTTTGTCATCCGAAAATCAAGGTGCTAAGTAAATGATTAATAATTTATTGTAATTTGAAACGAGGGCCTGCCCCACCTGATTGGAAACTAAAGTCTCTTGTGTTCATCAAGGAAAGATTGTTCCATGTTAATTATTTAAACAGTACTGCATATTGTATAAAGTAAAAATCTAATCCCATGCACAAATTGTTTGTTGCTTTACAGTCAACATTCCAGTTGCGGACTATGACGGTGCTGGCGAACCAGCAAATGGAGAAGTGCAGGCAACCAATCAAACTTCAAGTAAATATAGATTAACGATAGAAGACACTCCAGCCTCAAATGCTGTCAAGGTAGTAGCATCAAGACAAGAAGAAGAAGAAGTGGTTATCGCCCAACCAGTCGTTGTTGAAGGCGATCGTTCAAAGGCGGGAGCTAAACGAAGAAGTCAGATGCAAGTGGTTTCAATAAGACTGGATTCAGATTCTGATTCTAGTAATGGACGTAAGTAACCTACAAAGTCTATAACCTTGAAATAGTGTTTATTGGGGTATCTGGACAATGGTTAGTGAATATCTTCTCTCAGACAGATGTTTAGTTGCTTCAACATGCTATCGTCTGATTAAAATTTGGCCTCAGTTTTTCTTCCTGAGGAGAGTGCTTCCAACATGAGCACATAATAGGAAATGGACAGAAAGGATGGCACGAACTAGACCTCCAGGGAGAACAGCCTAGAACTGATACTTTGCCAATAAAATGAACAAGCTTTCGTTACTAGGGATGCAGCAACCTGAATATATACTGAATAAGGGGAATATCGACGTTTCGAACGAAGGCCATTCGTAACGTCAGACGCAGGCCCTTCAGTATCTCCAGACGAAGGGCCTTTGCTCGAAACGTTGAAATTCTCCTTATATATTTTCAGGTAGTTGCATCCCCACCAACGAAAGCTTGTTCATAGAACTGGTAGAGCTATCTGGATGTAAACACAAAGTTTACTTTCAGTGGCGGCCCCCACCTTCACAGAAAATTAACGAATTTTCGGAAATTTTGACCTAAAAGAGGGGCTAAAAACAATCTTTTTGAATGCAAATGGGGGGGGGGGGTTGTCGGAAGTTTGAAAGTTTTGTCGGAAATTTAGAAGGCTTTGCCCCCCCCTCCCCCGGAGAAAGTGAATTTCCGCCACTGTTTACTTTATTTGAAATGTTTACTGTACTAGGTGCATAAAATACTGCACAGTATAATCATATTTTAATCAATGTTTCCACAGGTAAGATATTACCAAAAAAATTAAAAAAAACAACCTGGTTTCTTTCAGCTGCATCACCAGGAAAGGTATCAAATAAAATTCAGCAACTGTTAAACACTTTAAAGGTATTGTATGTCAGTGTTTTAGAAACTAAGTCTTTAGACTAATAGTTGCAGTACTGTGTTTGTTGTGCTTCTTTAACAGACCTTTCCTCTACATATTTTAGAGGCCTAAACGCAAACCACTGGAACAGTTTTTCACTGATGATTATGATGTTGTTGAAGGTACAGTCATATCCAGTGAAGCTACTGCAGCAACTGAGTGACCATTAACTAAACCAACAGGCTGTTAGTAAAGTAGTTTATATATAACTTCCATTTTGAAATAGTTTCATATATATTGTATTATATTCTATTTGCCAGAACCAAAGTTAGACCCAGGTGCTCCCAAACCAGAAGGCACGACAACTAAACCTTCAATAGGAGATCCACTCCAAGTAAGTTATTAAATATTTATCATTAGCATAAGTTACATTTTCTGCTCGATCCTTCCAATGGTTGCTGCTCATCCCAAAGCTGAAATCCGTCCTATTAATCTAGATGTGTTTCTATTTTTAGCAACTTGCTCAGTGGGGAAACAGTTTGGAAGAAGCTCTATATCGCTATGGCACAAGTCATCATAAAGCAGCTGCCATTTCAACGATTGACAACCATTGTAAAACATCTTACACTCTAACATATGGTACGTTACCAAGTGCCTATGTATATGGTGTACCTGTATATACAGTAATGTACACAAATGTGGCACAGTGCATGTCTCTGTGGGCCCTGCTAGCTTCCTAATGATGACTTGACACTAAGGAATGTCCTTACTGGGCCTCTAAGGAGAGTTGCTTTCTAGTAACCGACTATTGCGTCTATTTGTTGTCAGGAAAACTTTTGAGTAAAGCACAGAAAATTGCGCACACACTTTTAAACAGAGTTGGCAACCCTAAAGAAGGAACTTCGATAATGATGGGCGACAGAGTAAGTAAAAATATTCAATATTTCTCAAAGTCAATGATCGCATGACAGTGGTCGGTTGCCACTTTAAGTTATTTCGATCCAGTGACAATGAGTGCTGATGGATAGTCAGGGCCGCCGATAGATTGCATGTCGTCATATACATGTATATATCAAAACAATCGGTGACTGGATGGCATAGAGAACAGTGGGATTTTCAAAATAGTGAAATGACAAATGAATGTAACACTCTGGTCGCTGGATCATGCCTGACACTACTGTTTTGCTAACTATTATGTCCTGCTCGAGGTTAAAGTTTTCAATTTATTTTTTTAGGTTGCACTGATATACCATCCAGATGATATAGTTGGTTTTTCCACTGCATTCTATGGTTGTTTACTGGCTGGTATAACTCCCGTCGCTGTTGAACCACCAAAGACTAAGGACGTAAGATACTGATGCATTTAACCTGAATGAGTTTACTTTTGAAAGGCTCAAAGCCGTTGTTCCATTTCAACAATGTGGTGGTGAATTATAGCAGGTAAACCCTATATTTTAGGATCCAGGTGGACAGCAAATCGGATTTCTCCTTGGTAGCTGTGGTGTCACGTGGGTCCTCACCACTGAAACTTGTTTTAAAACTCTACCAAAGGATGATACGGGCAACGTTGTACATTTTAAGGGTAGGTACTGTTGGTATTAATTAATTATTGGATAATTTGTCTGGATGATTTCGTGCAGTTGCGCAAACAGACGGGTCAACTGTCAAGATAGTCAAGACTACTCTAATGTCTGCGTATCAATTCCTTAAACAAAGTCTCAGTCTACTGTGATTTGTCTTGAAGAATGCTCTGTTTATATATGTATGTCTGTTTGAATAAGGCAGGAAAATATCAACAACTGTATGATTTGTTCCAAAACCATTGTCTGTATAGATCACGTTATTCGAGAGGATCAGACTTGACTCCCACCACCGTTACCATTAATCTACCTGATTAACCTATCAAGTACATATTACGCCATTGAGGGGTAGCGATAGGCTGTACATAGCGGTAGTGGACGTCAAGTCTCTGCCCCACGCAATCATAACTAGATCATAAAATCATACCATATTTGTAGGGTGGCCAAACATTCGTTGGTACTATACGGAGAAACTTGGAAAACCTCCGAAGGATTGGCGACCCCCGTCCAGTTTGGATCGTGCATCTCCAGCGTATATTGAGGTAAGTGAGGAGAACTGTGAGGAGGGAGGGAGGTGTAAGGATGGGGGGGGGAGGGAAGTGAATATGCATGTTTAGGGTTAGATTTCCTGGCCGAGGGCGTGTTCTAACCCACCACTTTCACCACACCACTAAACATAAATCATAAGTACCCAGGTAACCACTGGTTAAAACTTCTTGGGTGGAGGGGGTTAGCAGTTGTTGAACACATGGAAGGGGGTAACTGTTGGTACACACCCTAACTTATATTGAGGTGTGTGTTGGGGGGGGGGTTATTTCTCCCTGTGTGCATACTAGTAGGAGGAGTAGCTCATCATCCCAGTGTAAATTTTACTGGTCAAGGTGAGGGCTCGTACCCTACTCAACACACTTAGTGTACACTCTTTGCACCCACAGTTTTGCCCTCCCCCTGATTTGTGGGAGGTTTGAGTTTCATTTCGCCGTGATTTATGATATTTTATTATTATGTAGTCAACCACAGGCAAGGATGGTTCTGCTCTTGGTATCTCAGTTACTCGCGCCAACATGCTGTCACATTGTCAAATGGTCACTCATGCTTGTTCTTACACCGCTGGTACATATGTATTCAATCATTTATTCATCACCTTTGTGTTCGATACCTGTAATAATATGGTGTTGTCTAATTATAATTCCATGGAACATGCTTCCAGCCTGACTCTATCAAACACGGTGAATTACCCCCTGGGGCTTCCGTGGCGCAGTCATCAGAGAAAGCGTCTTTCACCTATGAGATCGTGGGTTCGATTTTCGCTACTGACTCATGTGAAAAGAGCAGGGCCCGAAATAACGGCTGGAGGGTCGGTGGTCAAGGTGACCGGCCAACTCAATTTTAGCTCGGACATACCGAATTTCTGGCCGGTCAAATTATCAAGCTTAAAGCGAAGCCTAGTAAAGTATACCCCTAAAAATGTGACCATTTTCCCAGTATAGCAGTACAAAAAGCCTTACTGTAATCAGTAATTAAAAATTCCTTCACATAAAACAGCTTGTACTGGGCTAAAAGCATGGTCTTAGCTCTTAAGCCAAAGGTATGGCCATGGCCCATGGGCTGTGTGACGTACTGCGTGCGAAAAACTGGTGTACATTGAAGTTGTTTTCCTGCAAAATATTCGACAACATGCATGTTATGGTTCTTAATTATAATACTGTACTTGACCACTTTATTTTGATGATTATTATAAAATGAAGATTAGTTTGTTCTTTTACCGAAAGTGTCAAAATGACCGGCAAGGTAAGAATTTGACCGGACAACTCCGCATTCTGGCCGGACATTGTCCGTTGACCGGCCGTTATTTCGCGCCCTGAAGAGTCAGTCACGCTTTGCTGAAAGTCGTGGGTTCTCTCCGGGTACTTCGGTTTTCTTCCACAGGAATGTTGACAGGGTGGGTTGGGAAGCACCTCAAACTGATCCGTAGCTGTGCACCCACTGATAGTTAGAAATGTTCGGTATACTGATATAGACCCATTGCACATGACGTCACAGCGCCGGTGACGATGCATCTGGAGGACAAATTAGCAATCTATGCATAATATAACTTTTGTAAACAAAGCAAATTGTGTAAAACTTTATAATAATTTTGTATTAAAATGGTTAGTTTTTGCGCTGTATGTGGTTGTTGTACCCGAACAGATATTGTTAGGGAGCATCTGGAGGACACTCTAAGGATTTGTGACGTCAGTGCAAAGGGTCTATACCGAAAATATCGGTATTGAAGCCAATATCGGTTTATCAGTATGAGTTTTTCAGTCACACCGAAATTTCCGATGTATCGGAATTTTTCGATATACCGTATCAAATTTATACACCATGCATATGGCAAAATCATCAATTTTTGTATGCAAATTAATAAAAGCAGTAGACATTTCGTGTTAAAAACAATGTCAACAGCTTCGAAATTATCATAAACGGTGTTTCTACTTTTGAAATTATTCAAAATCAAAATTTCCTTCAAATTTCCACTAAAGAATTTTCCTATCTAATTTAACAGGCGAATAACCGGTATACCGATAATATCGGTATAATTTTTCCGGTACACCGATACCTGAAAATTCTCATACCGAACATCCCTACTGATAGTACAGATCAGTGTGTGTTCTGTGATCAGTCACGAGTCATAAGGTGGCAGAGGTGCCCTTTATAGAATGCCTTTGACTAGATCTGGTTGAGCTGCGTCCTTTGTAATTAAGCTTAACTCTCAACTTCAGCAAGGTTAGCACACCTGGTATCACTGGACAAAAAGGAATAGCCCTTACTGAACATATAGTGTCCACTGTATATAGAGAGAGCAGTTTAAACTTTAAATCTATTTGTCGAAGCTATCCAGTATCAACAAAGCTAGTTTGACTCGTCTATTCTACAAAACCACAATTTCTTTCTATTTTTCAGAATCATCCTCAAAGATATAGTGCGTTATTTCATTCATTAAATCTTGTGTCAATATTTTGTTCGTAGGTGAGGTGATGGTCAGTGTGTTGGATTTCAAACGGGAAGTTGGTTTATGGCATTCTATTCTGACGGTAAGACTGTTGTCCATGTTTGTTAGTGAAAATGTTTCATGTATTACTGCATATCCAACTGTTAATACATTGTTTTGCACCTACCCCAGATTTGTTAACAAAGAATATTATATGTTTTGTAGAGCGTTTACAACGGAATGCACGTGATTTTTGTTCCCGGATGTGTTTTGAAAACTAATCCCGCGATGTGGTTGCAAGTTGTGACAAAACAAAGGGGTAAGCGCTGTCCTGGGGGTGTGGTGTGGGTGTGGTAAGCGTACTGCATGTACCTTTCATCTGTGCCACCGTGGTTCCATTCCTGCAATTTATTCAGGGTTAGGACAATTGGATAAAACGCGGATATGACTTATAAAGGGCTGAAAAACGTATTTTGATCCATATCCGCGTTTTATCCTTTTAGATAAAACGCGGATATGACTGTTAAATGACATTTAGCGAGAATATAAGCCGTCCGCCATTCGTCTGTCCGTCCGCCATCTGTCCGTCCGCCGTCCGTCCGTATCCGCGTTTTATCCTAACCCGCAATACTCACTCGTCTGATTATAATTTTACCACATTTGAGAAGATTGCTTCCAGATTGACTCTACCAAAACCTCAATCTTCTCTGGTTATAACCTTGAACGTCTGTGCCAGTGTAGTGCCAATAATAACAGGGATGCAACTACGTTGAAAAGTACAAGGAGCCCTTCCTGGTTTCCTCCTGTAATAACACTGTATAATCCAATAACGTATTACTTATTATTAGCATGACAAAATTACTGGATGCTGATTGGTTCAGAGGAGTACAATTATTTCATTAATTGTACTGCAGTACAATTAATGAAATAATTTCCAAACTCGTACTAGTCAGTGCTTCCACATCCAAAAGTAAATTTCCCTAAAACAAACATTTTCCTCTAAGTGGAAACACTTACAAGCATGATCCAATAAAAAAGTTTAGGGTCGGAATTTCGGCGGCCAAAAGCTAGGTAGGGTCCGGAAACCCACATATTTTTTTTTGCCTAACAAAATAAATGATCTTTTTTCCCATTCTCTAGCAACGTGTGCTCTGGTGTGTTCCCGAGACTTGCACTGGTCTCTTCATGCTACCAAGGAAATCAAAGACGTTAATCTCAGTTCACTAAGGATGTTGCTCTTAGCAGACAGAGCTAATCCCTGTAAGAATTCTATGATCATTAAATGACGGTTTGTGCTCTAAAACGGACTTATATCTCTGCTTTTATTATTTCCCCCTAGGGTCACTTTCAGCGTGTGATGCATTTATAAGTGCATTCGAAAGGAAAGGTTTGAAACCAGAGTCACTCTGTCCTTGTGCCAGCTCATCCGAAACATTGACAGTCGCTATCAGACGGTAAGTAGAAAGCTGCTTTAATGAGTAAAATACGATAGGTGTATGTGCAGCGATTGAATACCCCCACAGAGTTCGTGGGTTCGATCCTCGCTACGGACACATTTGAGTCAGTGAACGCTCTGCCGAAAGTTGTGGGTTTTCTCCGGGTGCTCGGGTTTCCTCTCACAGGAAAAGTTGACAGGGTGGGTTAGGATAAACACAGTTAAGAAAGTAACATCACAATTGCTGTAAAAATAAATAGTCTAGGCAAAGTGTATGTAATTAGGTAAGCGTCATACTTGTAAAACGCATTTGATTACATCCACATGTGAATTTGGGTTATCGTTCCATGTTTCGCGCACCAGTATTAGTTAGGGTTAGAATTAGGTTTAAGGTTGGGGTTAGGGTTAGGTTTAAGGTTAAGGTTAGGGTTAGGGTGTGTATATATGTATATGGAGGTATCCAGTTGACTTTGCAGTACACTATGATATCCATTACATAACGTTTACTATATTGGTGCGCGAAACATGGAACGATTACCTAAATTTGCGCCATATAAATGTTAATCGTAAGTATTTAACACACTATACAGTACGTTTATTATTTCTCCAGACCAGGCAAGCCGGGCTCGACCGCTACGGGACGTGGTGTACTGTCTCTGAATGGCTTAAGTTATGGTGTGGTCAGAGTAGATAAAGAAGGATCTGTGACGTCACTCACTTTACAAGACTGTGGTACAGTGCCCCCTGGTGGTAAGTCAGACTGAGAATCTTGATTACAGTATATTCAGAAGTCTGAAAAATAAACAACGGGGGCCGGTTGTACGAAAGGTGGATAAATCGCTATCCGGTTCATGATAAGTCCGCTATCCAGCGGATAAATTTTATCCGGTGGTGAAATCCCCTCATGTCTACTGTAATTCGTATGTTTTAGTGAAAATCGTGGTAGTGAAACCAGATGGGCCACCCAAACTTTGCAAGACTGATGAAGTTGGGGAGCTGTGTGTTGCCAGCGGAACAGTTGGTAGTGCGTATTTTGGACTCGTTGGGAAAACAAATCACACTTTCAAGGTACAGCAGGTCATGTACACCTAAAATCAACCTTGATGCCAGTTTAGAACTGATAGATCTACTAAGTATCCAATACAAATAAATAAATTAAATTTAGTTTGGGTTTTCTCCTATTGGAACTCTCGGAATGACCCTTACCGAACCTCTAAGGAGAACAATTTATTGATTGAGGTAGCTAGATTGTTTATGTTTCTGATGTTACTCTGAGTGTATATCCACACCGGGCAAGCTGAAAAGTCTGCCTGACCACGGTGGGAATCGAACCCGCGACCTTTGGGATACTAGTCCAATGCTCTGCCAACTGAGCTACGAGGTCAGGTCGGTACTTCGATTAGTGTACCGTAGGTAAGGTGGACAAGGGTTACTGTAGTTACTCATTCACTTTTTTAGCTGCAGAGCTATAGCTGTACTTAAAAGTTGAGATTTGTGAGAAAAGATTGAGGTGATCCCATGTAAATGCATATATGGTTCTTGTTGAAAATTTAAGGTTCAACCTCTTGGCGCCGATGGTGGACCTGTAGAACAGTATTCACATTATTCTGATTATGTTCGGACAGGATTACTTGGATTTCTGGGACCGGTGAGTCGCAATTATATACCGAAAGTTAGTTTGCAATTTGGAATGGGTCTGTTAATTGGGGGTACCGATTGAGACATTCAAATGTGGTTTGGATATTTTGAGTTTGGTGTAGACATACACATACATTGAGCTTTCACTGGGGAAAAAATGTGAAATCCATACTATGATATTTGCAATGCACCACTAAATCCATAGTATATCCTTACTATTTCGATACTGTATCCATAGTATGGGAATATACAATTATTATGGATAATCAAAATTCCATTCTCTTTCCAGTAAAGGTTCATATACAATTTCCATTCTATGAACTTCTATGGATTTTCAAAAATTTTCCCGGTGTTTACAGATATGATTGTGTGACAATGTAGGCTGATCTAGGCCTCGTTTACATGAGACCGGGACAAATTCAAACCGGAATGAAAATGGAAATTGTCAACATGTTTACACGAGACTGGTACGAAAAAAAAAATCACTTTATTCCCCCCCTTGCCAGGCAATTTTCTTTTTTAGATGGATTTTGTTAGCATGTGTTGTTCCAGTGTCAAGGTTACAGCCGAGACCGATCTGAAATGTATTTGTGTTTACATTCATCCCAGTCTGAATTCATGTCGGTCTGAAGTCAGTCGGTCGGTCCAGCAGGCGGAATGACTTGAGACCTCGGTCTGAGTTATTTTCGCCCCGTTCTCGTGTAAACATCTATTATAAGTAATATTATGACCGAAACGAAATGGTCCCGGTTTGACTTCGTTCCGCTCTTATGTAAACGGGACCCTATATAGTCTGGTTTATAGTAGTGTGAATATGCACAATAACGAATCAAAAACTAAAATGTTTTCTTTATTATCAAGGGAGGTTTGGTATTCATCTGTGGCACAGTGGATGGTCTTATCAGGGTTTCTGGAAGACGTCATAATGCTGACGATCTCAAGTCAACCATTCTTGCTGTTGATCCCATCAAGTTTGTGTACAGGGGAAGGTAGCATATCTATTAATTCCTATTCTCCTAGGGGGGAACAGTATACTGTACAACACACAGACCATTCCAAGGGCGGATTTTCATTTTTTTAAAGGAAGGGTGGAAAAATTTCTAGTGGGGTGCAAGCGGCACCACTGAGCAAGCTTCGACAGGGGTTAGGCGTTAGGGTTAAAGACTTTCACACAAAATAGGAGGGGTGAAGCGAAATTTTGGTGGGGTTAAACACTTTATAAGTATAGGTATAGGAACGAGGGGATATGTGATTTATTCACCGAGGCGCGCAGCGCCGAGGTGAATAAACACATATCCCCGAGGTGCCTCAAAATAACGTACTTATTTTTCACATTGCGAGGTCGCGTTAATGAGTCAGAATAGAAATAATTCTTAATGCCATATTGCCTTCGTTATGTTGTTTTTTTCTCATTTTTTGTGCTGCAAAGACTTTTCAGGTGAATATTAGAGGGGATTATTAATTGCAGGTGAATATTAGAGGGGATTATTAAACGGAAATTGATTAGAGGAGAATATTGAATATATTCCCCGATAAGAACAAAGGAAACCGAGCAGGGTGAAAAATAAGAGGGGTTAGAGAGATTCTAGGGGGGATTAACCCCCCGCAGAATGACTGAAGCGTAGCATTATAGACACATAGCCTCGACTTCGTTCTTTGATTTGTTTTGAATTTTTTGAATGCTATTCATTATTACGTAATGTTTAAAGTTTCCGTTTGTTCTCAAAAGAATGAGGTCGATCCAGTAATTCTGCAAATGGTCTAAAGAGCTCTCCAAAGTGTAGTTAAGTTTAGTTTAATTGTAATATTGTAATATTGTAATATTGCATTATTATTTGCGTTTATTTATGTTAGAATTGCGATATTTGGGATGGAAGTTCTACGTGAAGAGAGAATAGTTGTTGTTGCTGAACAAAGACCAGATTGCACTGAGGATGAGGTACCATGATACATTTTTGCGTTAATAATTCATGAGTAAATTAGTCAACCATATTGCTTTATTTTGCTCACATGATAATAAAAGGTTATTGACCGAGCGTGAGGTCTGTACTGTGAAATATCAGACCGAGGTTTAGTATGGACCGAGCGACGAAGGAGCGAGGTCCATGCAAAAAACAGAGGTCTGATATTTCACAGTACAGACCGAACAAGCGAGGTCAATAATCGGTTTATTATATGGCTGAACTGAGTCTGTGAGCATATGCTTTTCGCGCGAATTAAATCGGCTATCGTCAGTTAGCAATATACGGTAGGCATGCATGCTCAATCAAAAACAATTTTAGTTGTTTGAAATTTTTATCTGTAAAGCACAATTGGAAAATTTAAACAGCAAAAAATTTTTTGTTTGCAAAGCAAAAATTTCCCGCCAGATAAACGAAATCCGGGACACCGGTCCAGATACGGAAAATACGGACCACGGTCCGGATATGGGTTTTTACGGACCGCTTATCAACCAATCAGAATAGAGAATTTTGAAAAGCCATATAATAATACTGAATACCTGGTGAAGTATATTGATTCAGTCCTAGGACTGGATCAAAATTAAGTCACCTCACTTTAAGTAGTGATTTATTCGTATGAGATGTCAATTCAAATCCTCCAATTCGGACTGGACTAGATTTCAAGTCATCGCATTTCGATCCAGTCCTCAGCTTCGCCTCGTCAATGATCAAATTGCGCGGACTTTAAATCTAGTCCAGTCCTCATGGTCGGACTTGAAATATTACTTCATGTACTTTGTGAGTTTTGTTTTTTTTTGAGGTTTTTTACAACTAAAATACTTTGTTTGCAGGCTTTTCAGTGGATGAGTCACGTTATTCCTGCTATAGATAGTATTCATAGTGTAAGTGATAATCTTTCTAATTTTCATTATTCAACAGTTCCTATCTCAGATTTTCCATTGTGCTGTGTATTGCTATTCCTGCAGTATACAGATTTGTGTGATCTTAATTGACCACTTGCGTAATAGACAAAATTTTGATCTCAACAAGTCTAGACAAAAATTTCATTACAGCTTGAAAGAGCATCACAAAATTAGTAATATGCCAAACTTTCGTTGCGAAATGTTGTAAAATGCGGATAATATAGCCTTGCGAAGCTTGCCGTTTTTCAGTCATTTTGCATTACGCGGGGGAAAATGACAGACCAATACCCTTTGGATCTGTCAATTTCGCAAGGCTATATTATCCGCATTTTACAACATTTCGCAACGAAACTTTGGAATATTACTAATTTTGTGATGCTCTTTCAAGCTGTGATGAAATTTTTGTCTAGACTTGTTGAGATCAAAATTTTGTCTATTACGCAAGTGGTCAATTCACCTCAGTTGCGAAGAGTGTTTCCAATTTCACTCGGGGCGGCCCTTACTGGACCTCTGAGAAGAACATTGTAAAACTGATAGAGCTATATTCAACATAATTAGGTAATTAATACCAAATCCTAACAAGTAGTATGCACCATATCTTTTACGTAGGTTGGTATTTATTGCTTATGTTTGCTGAGGCCTGGAGGTCTTCCAAAGGTATGCAGACAAAAACTTTAAAAAATAACTAACTATGGATAATCAAGGAAGTTATTTCATATTACAATTCATTTCTGTTTTCAGATGTCAACTGGAAATATTCACGTTTTCGAGACAAAACAGAGATTTTTGGAAGGCTCGTTACATCCATCCAATGTCCTCATGTGTCCCCACTCGTACGTATATGTTTAATTCAAATTTAAGTTATTCCCTATTCCTTCTCAACTATAACTAGACTAGATGAAGGAATATCGGAAAGGAAGCCAGGTTGGTCAAAGGAAGCCTGGTTAGAAAAAATATTGAAATAAGTCAGCCAACAACTTTTTCATTTCCTATAGATGTGTCACGAACTTACCCAAACCAAGAGGCAAACACCAAGGTAAATATTTGTTCAGATCATTGAAATTGTCATGGTAGACCTTCTTTTCCACTTCCCAGACTCATTCTCTTCATTTTACATAATATATTTGTTAAAGTGCATATGACATGAAATTTCTTATTTTCTTAAATGAAAGAACTCTTTAAGCTTCTCACACCGAGAAAGTGCCTATGAAGTATATATGGGGTGAGGTATTAATTGGGACGTAAGTCCTGTTCCACATTCCAGTCACGTGTGTTGTCTTGTAGCTTGTTATGTATATTGTTTATCAGTGTCATTGTAAATATTTGTGACAAATTTAATAATATATAATAATATAATATATATAATATAATAAGCTGTAGTGTAACTTATTTTTCAGTTTCTTGTTTTTATGGTTTGTTCCCGAGATATTTCAATTTGTTTGGTATGTAAATGAGTGTGAATATGTCCGCTAATTTATGACGTCATGTTGGTTGCAAGCTCTTCAAAATGGTTGACTATCACTGCTATCATCCAAGATGATAATTTCAAACTTCACTCACTGGTAAATGTGATGAAACACTGTAGAAAAACGTGAACAGATATCTACAGTTTTTAGAGTTAATAGATTTATAACTAGTGTAAGTTCAGCTTGCAACCAACGTGACGTCATAAATTAGCGGACATATTCACACTCATTTACATATCAAACAAATTGAAATATCTCTGGAACAAACCATAAAAACAAGAAACTGAAAAGTAAGTTACACTACAGCTTAAAGAGTTCTTTCGTTCAAGAAAATAAGAAATTTCATGTCATATGCACTTTAAAGTTATATGACCTACGTTGCGTTTTAGAACCGGGTCCTGGCGCTGTGATGGTCGGGAATTTGTTACGAGGCACGAGAATTGGCGAGGCATCTGGTAGAGAAATTGGTGAAGTTAGCGATGCTGATAAAAGGGTATGTCAATTTACATACTTTACATACATATATTTACATACATAAATTTAGCAAGTGATATACTTGAAAAATGTTTCATGGCTGATGTTGTATTTTGTTTTAGTTTCAATTTCTTTCTGAAGTTTTGAGATGGAGAGCCCAATCGACACCAGATCATGTCCTTTATTCACTGCTAAATACTAAAGTGAGTAATGTATTATTGTACGTAAACGTTTGTGACCATTAACTATCAACCTTATCTACCTGCCTGCTTGCCTGCCTGCCTAGATAGTTACTGTAGAAAAACTTTATTTACCCACGCTAACCCTGTCAACCGAAGCTGATTTCCACAGGGGGCGTGTAAGACGTAAATTACAGTAGTAGAAAGGAAATGACAATAGTATAAACATAGTTACATGAAGTTATTTACAAATAGTAGAAATGGTATTAAGTAGTACTAATACTAATAGTATATAGTAATAGTAGAATAGTTATTTACAAATAGTAGAACTAGTATATGGTTTTATTTATAAAATGTGAGCAGCAATGTACTTTTGAGAGCATGACAGAGATTTGCTTTCCCTAATTTCATTTGGAATAGAGTTGATGAAATTATTTTGGAATAGAGAAGATGAAACTCATACATGAAACTATTTTTCATGCTATTGATGCATGGTTGTGGCAGACAAAGTAAAGAGGTTTGAGAGAGACTCGGGGCCTATCCCAATTGAAGTTTTGTTCATCATTCTTGCTATTGCCTTTTTTCTCATGATATCAAGTGGCTTCCAGCCTAAGGCACATAAAGCAATAGAATGATCTACATCATTGCTCATATTTGAAAAGTCTGCCTACCTACCTTACTGTACCTGCCTACCTAAATATCAATCCACTATATCAACCTCTCTAACTACTTACTGTACCAAGGCAACATATGGATATCTGTCTACCTTTGTATCATTATTAGGGAGGCTTGGCGTCCACATTGAGCTGTATTCAGTTACATAAACGAGCAGAGAGAGTTGCTCAGATGGCAATGGAATGCGGTGACTTAAGTTCTGGAGATCGTATTGCTCTGGTGTTTCCACCAGGTATAGTACTGTTTAATCTCTAGCGTACTGTAGGTAATATTCTATAAGAAGCTGCCGTAGTTCGTGTCTGAACTGCCTGAAAAATATCTCCAACCAGGTGGTGTTGTGTAGAGAAGCACTGTCTTGTAGATTGTACACACTGTACACAAGTGAAGTGGTTTAATATAAATAGAGGATATTACACAGCGGCGCGAAGATATTACTTTTATCTTCGAGTGGTGAAAACAATATTTTACGAACGAGCGCAGCGAGTAAAATATTGTTTTTAACACGAGAAGATGAAAGTCATATCTTCAAGCCACCGTGTGATGTTTTGTTTATTATATATATAGTCCCAAGCAAAAAATTGTGAAATTTCACGCTCAAAAGCAAATTGGAAAAAGACACGTGATCGATATCTTCACTAGTGAAGATATGGAAAATATCTCACTGTGTATTTTTCAGTATCTCACTCTCTACTATATAATAAAGTAGAATATTATACCTCACAATGAGCTTGTCCAATCAGAGAACTAAATTTGTACCACATGACCATGGTATTTTTCAGCGAATACTATGACCTAGGCAATTTGAACCCTGGGTGTTTTACCCGGGGCCATGGTATTCGACTTCGAATACCACGCTTGAGCGGGAAATTCGACTTTGAACTTGTTTTGAAATTAAAAGTTAATTGAATGGTATTTGTTTTCTATTTATTTTTGAAAGGTTCGGTATAATATACCATTTATAGACCTTTCACTCGGGGTATTCCACAAAAAATTACCCTGCGGGATGAAATATTCCTCGGGCCCGAGGAATATTTCATCCCGCAGGGTAATTTTTTGTGGAATACCCCTCGTTTCAGGTCTATAACTGATAAGTATTATTTATTGAAAGATTTCTTTTCATAGGGATTGATCTGGTTGTCGCTGTTTACGCCTGTTTGTATGCTGGTAAGTAAATATTTACAGTATGAGGGTATATACACAATCTGCTGTGGTGGGTGGAAATTTTTGGGGCAGGTTTGTCACCTACCTTTAACATCATGTTGTTTTCCTGTAGGTCTCATTCCAATCCCCATCCGACCACCTTACCCAAAGAATGTAGCCACCACACTGCCCACTTTACGAATGGTTATCGAAGTGAGTCAATCACAAGCAATCCTCACCACTGGTAATCTGGCTAAACTTCTCAAATCCAAGGAAGCTTTAAGTGTGGTGAACAATAAAACATGGCCACTGATACTGAACTCTGATGATCCGCCCAAGAAGAAGTTACTCAGGCCATATAATCCTCCCACGCCAGAACTCTTGGCTTATGTTGACTTTAGTGTATCGACTACCGGTGTTTTGACAGGTGTCAAGGTGAGCTGTACTTATACTTGGATTTTGTTATAGATGTCTCAGTTCTGCATAAAGTGACATTTTCTTTTGGTTCAGAAAAAGCAGAAAGAATACTCGCATATTGCTTCGGACCGATTTCTGCATGTATATAATTGAACGGTGTAGGTTGGTGAAGCCACCCAAATTTTCATTTTGGTAATAGAAGGTAACAGCTGTAAAGCAGACTAGATGTCCAATCCAATCCCATAATAATCTTCACAGATGAGTAACTTAACACTTGCCCGCTTGCCCGGGGCAAGTGAATATCATGACGGGCAAGTGTTGCCTTGCCACAAAAAGCTGGGCATCTTTAAGTTTATAATTTTTTTATAGTGCATGTACTTGATTTAAATTTTGTTTTTTGTGGACCAAAGCAAGATCTGAGGCAGTATAACATAGCCATATAGAGCTAAGAGCATCAGTGGGAGAACGGGTCGAAATGTTGTCCCCTTAATATATACCCCCTACCTAGGTACCCCAGTGGCCATTGTCTGATGGCAAGTGAATTTTATTCAGGGCAACTAATTCTCATGTCCAACTTGCCTTGGCAAGTGGTCAAAAAAGTAAAGTTACACCACTGCTTCAGAGTTTCTAAAAATTGCCCTCTAAATTTATAGAGACATTTAATTTCAAGCTTTTTTGGCGTTGCATATACTGTAGCACAGAGAAAGTTCTCGCCCTTTCGGCGATTTCGCCACTTTTCTTTCTTTGCTTTCGTCTCCATCAGTTTAATGGTCATAACGGCAATAACAGTCTTAATACATTTCTCTAGATGTCTCATGCTGCAGTCACGGCATTATGCAGATCAATAAAGTTATCATGTGAATTATATCCTTCGAGGGATATCTGTCTTTGTCTCGATCCATATTCTGGACTCGGGTTCCTTATGTGGGCGTTGACCGGGTAAGTTGCTATGGTAACAGTAATCTATATATTTTCTATTAAACTGGAGTAATATAATTTCAGTTTATTACTTCAATGAAAAATGCTGGTAATAGTTTAAATGACCTTATACATGCCATTTGGATGAAAATTTGAAATGAACCGTCCCTACACACAAGTTGTAACAAACCTGCAGTAGACTTGTAGCAATGCGTTCCAACAAGTTGTCAACAGGATGTGTTCGCACTGCTTGTTCCCAGCTTGTTGACAAGTTGTCAACGGCTTGTTGACAACTTGCTACAAGGTTGTTGAGCTCAACAGTCTTGTTACAAGTTGTTCCAGCAACTTGTTATCGTCCTGCAATTCAACAATTTGTCAACAAGTTGTGACTGACAACCTTGTAACAACGTGATAAAATAACAGCCATGTCGACAAGCTTGCTACAAACCTGTTGCGAATACATCTTGTTGACAAGTTATGAGACTTGAATGAAATAATGAACACTCCAGATATAAGGACATTTTTGTAATGGTCAATAGGTGCGATGGGTCTATAGTTTTAAGCGAACCTCCTCACTTGTGGAAATTTATAATCTTTCTGTTTATAATTCAGTGTGTTCTCTGGTCATCATACAATTCTGGTGCCTCCTGGTGATCTGGAAGCGAACCCCGCCTTATGGTTGACCGTTGTCAGTCAATATAAAGGTATCATTTACAACTGAATATTTATATACCTTCTCCTCAATACTTGAATACCAATGCTTTTGTCATGAATGTTATATTTAGTAAGATCTGTTCTGTTCTTTTAGTACGGGATACGTTTTGTTCGTATCCAGTCATGGACCTATGTACTAAAGGTCTTGGTCAGCATATACCTACTTTAAAGGTGAGTGGCTTCAATTTGAAAACTAAACAGATATTCTCGGGTTTACAGTTGGAGTATTCAAGGTTCCCAATCTCCAAAACCTAACTCCCCAAAATGGTTATAGAAATTCCATTTCAGAGGGTTTAAATTCCAGAGTCTTCACAGAGAGATGCCCATGGATCCCCCCCCCCCCAGGCTCGGATCCCACCACATAGCCACCTACGTCTTTCAAAAAGCCTCCCACACCAAATTTTATTGGGAACCCTGGGTATTTATAGTGAGTGAGTGGGCAAATCATCCCTCCCCTCTCGCAAGCCCTGTGGATAAGTCTCATTTTCAGTATTTTTCCCATTAAGGCAAAAGGTGTGAACCTAGCTTGCGTTCGATCTTGTGTCGTCGTTGCTGAAGAACGTCCTCGTATTAACTTAACGTCCGCATTCTCCGCTCTCTTCTCTGGCCTGGGATTATCACCACGATCTGTTAGTACTTCATTTGGATGCCGCGTTAATGTTGCCATCTGTACACAGGTATTGTAAACTTTATCATGGCTAGGTCTATCAGTTCTGCACTCGTCTTCCTATAGAAGAATTCTTTATATCGGGCCTGTGTAATTGCACGGAGTACTTGGGAAAACCGGATGTGTTTGGTAGTCAAACGTGACAACTTTGTTGCAGATCTGAAACAACTTGTGCGCTTTTACGTATGCACACAAGGTTGTAACAATATTGTTATATTATGACTGTATCGGACTTGTTGGAACAACCTTGCAACAAGTCTGATAATATCAACAATGTCGTTACAAGTTGTTGACAGCTGTGACAGTTGTGTACACACGTAAAAACGCTCAAGGTGTTACAAGTCTGCAAACAAGTTGTTACAAATCTGTTCACAAGCTGTCGGCAAGTTGTGTTCGCACTGCTTGTTCCTAGTTGTTGTAACAAGTTTGGAACAAGCTGTCAACAACTTGTAACGACCTTGTTGATATTATCAGACTTGTTGCAAGGTTGTTCCAACAAGTCCGATACAGTCATAATATAACAATATTGTTACAACCTTGTGTGGTCAACCTTGTAACATTCTTGTTATATCATGACTGTATCAGACTTGTTAGAACAACCTTGTAACAAGCCTGATAATACCAACAAAGTTTGTTACAAGTTATTAACAGCTTGTTCCAGACTTGTCAAGTTGTCGGAACAGCATTGCTGCAAGTCACGATATAACAAGAATGTTACAAGGTTGACCATACAAGGTTGTAACAATATTGTTATATCATGACTGTATCGGACTTGTTGGAACAACCTTGCAACAAGTCTGATAATATCAACAAGGTTGTTACAAATTGTTAACAGTTTGTTCCAAACTTGTTGACAATTTGGGACAAGCAGTGCGAAGACAACTTGTTGACAGACTTGCCACAATATGTGATATTTTTGCGTGTGCACTATCACCAGACAACTGCTTATTGAATGAAGGGAACTCTGGTTACAGAGCACATTGTGGACTACACGCGTAAAATCTCACATCTTGTAGCAAGTCTGCCAACAAGTTGTGTTCGCACTGCTTGTCCCAAGTTGTCAACAAGTTTGGAACAAGCTGTTAACAATTTGTAACAACCTTGTTGATATTATCAGACTTGTTGCAAGGTTGTTCCAACAAGTCCGATACACCCATGATATAACAATATTGTTACAACCTTGTGTCATCAACACTCTTTCTATATCATGACTGTATCAGACTTGTTAGATCAACTTTTCTACAAGTCTGATAATGCCATCAAGTTTGTTACAAGTTGTTAGCAGCTTGTTCCAAACTTATTACAACAACTGGGAACAAGCAGTGCGAACGCAACATGTTGACAGCTTGTGAACAGATTTGTAATTAACAACTTGTTTGCAGACTTGTAACAACTTGTGCGTTTTTACGTGTGTAGTAGGCAATGTACCAACACCTCTGATTGGTATATATCAGTTGTATTGTCTACATTACAGGGATCTGCTAGTCCAGAGACAAGCACAGTCTATGTGGACGCACGTGCACTTAGAAATGATCGGTAGGTATACTGTATTTGAAGTCTAACATAATCATTACACTATCGGTGACTGTCTTATTTATACCAACTATATGGAACTATATAATCTTACCGTTAGAGTGACGCTTGTTGAGAAAGGAAGTCCACACAGCGTTTGTTTACAAGAGTCTGGCAAAATTCTTCCCGGTGTTAAAGTGGTGATCGCAAATCCTGAAAGTAAAGGAATGCTTGGGGACTCGCATTTGGGAGAGGTAAGTAATGAGTTTTTCCCATTCCGATTATAGGGGGGTGGGGCGTGTGGAGTGTGTATCCCTTCCCCTTATCACCGTCAACATATCACCGCTAATGTATCACCATCCTGATGAGTTGTAAGCCGTAATGATAAATTGTAACGTCTTGATGAGAACATTCATACTCTTCAACAATTTAAAATGAATGAATGATATTTGGTGAGAAAATTGAATTGCAAATCAGTATGGCTTTGTATCAGATATACAGATTCCTTCACGCTAATGATATCTTTCGTGTTTTCTTCATAAATTATTATTGAGTTTCACAATGATTAGTTATAAGTTGTAGTGATGTAAGTCGTAATGATGAGTTACTTGAAGAATACTGGGTGGATAAAATTACCATCCAACAATACTCTGTTAATGTCTATAGATCTGGGTAAGAAGTGGACATAATGGCACAGGTTATTTCAATACAACTGGAGATGATTTGTTATCATCAGAACATTTCCAAGCTCAGTTACTTACTGGCGATACTACGACGAGATTTGCACGTACTGGATATCTCGGATTTATTAAAAGGACAGATTATACACAAACAGACGGAGGTATGTTAAGGAAGATCTGGTTAACGCCCTGCCCCTTGCCTGCTTTTGTAGATCGAGGGTAGCCTATAGCTTAAGTGGGGGTGATTATCCTGCACTGACTTGATGTTCTTGAAAATTCATGTAAGTGGAGCTGTGCTTGGCTTGGAATCCACCGAGTTCTTCAGATTTTTCCCTCACTAAATATCAGTCCTTAGACCTTACAGTAGTTGTCAAACATGCTGTTAGGGAGCCATGAGCGTCGCCACCTCCATATATGGTTTAAGGGACTAACTCCAAATTCATAGGAACTTAGTTGAATTAAAAATTCTGGAGTTACTGGTTATCAAAACTAGCTACCAAACCTGGATTACTGGCCCTTAGGTTGCCCTGAACGGAAATTAATAAGGTTCTGTTTTCTTCACAGCTCGCCATGATGCGTTGTTCGTTGTTGGTTCTCTACATGAAGCTCTGACTCTACGAGGCATGCGCTACCATCCCGTGGATATAGAAAACTCGTCATCAGATGTCACAAATCTATCTGCGAGTGGTAAGTCAATGATAGACAGGAGTTTGGTTTGGTTATTACACCTATTAAAACAGTTTAGAACTGATAGAGCTATCTGTATAAATTGAGTTTACTTTAGTTTTAAAGCAAGTATAGTGGCCGTAACAAGTTTCGAGCAAAGTTTAGTGCAAAGTCGTTTCAGGTATAGTTCAGACAAAAACCACAGCAACCACCTCAATTTTACATTCTAGTGCTGTATTCACATGGACGAACTTACTGGTCGTTGTCGTCGAACTGGAAGCGAATGAAAACGAGGCTTTGGATGTCGTACCGCTGATCACAAACATCGTGTTGGAAGAACATCAGCTGGTTGTGGGCGTGGTCGTTGTCGTCGACCCACGTGTCGTTCCAATCAACTCGCGTGGGGAAAAACAACGCATGCATCTGCGTGACGCCTTCCTGGCCGATCAGCTCGATCCAATATATGTCGCGTATAATATGTAAATGAAGATTTGGAGGCGGGCGTGCGGGTCACATCGCCCAAGTGATATGCTAGATAGTAGGTGTGGTATCGGTAGTAATATATTCAATGTGAAATATGGACTGTAAGTCGTGTTTACATTGCAAGCCTTGGCCAGAATGTTTATGCATTGGGCTACACACGTGAAAACACAAAAGTCTTCACGAGACTGGTTGTAAGATTGCTTCAAGGTTGTGTGTTAACACTGCTTGTTCCGTCGTTCGACAGGCCCGTTCCAACTTGTTCCATTTGACAGCTCGCTACACACGTAAAAACGCACAAGTTGTTACAGGTCTGGTAACAAGTTTGGAACAAGCTGTTAACAACTTGTAACAAGCTTGATGGCATTATCAGACTTTTTAGCAAAGTTGTTCTAACAAGTTCTAACATGATATAACAAGAATGTTACAAAGTTGATGACACAAGGTTGTAACAATATTGTTATATCATGACTGTATCGGACTTGTTGGAACAACCTTGCAACAAACCTGATAATATCAACAAGGTTGTTACAAGTTGTTAACAGCTTGTTCCAAAATTGTTGACAACTTGGGGCAAGCAGTGCGAACACAACTTGTTGGCGGCTTGTTGCCAGACTTTTTACAAGATGTGAGATTTTTACACGCGTAGCATTTGCCTAAAATAGCATTGTTACAACTTGTTAACAAGTTCGTCAAAAGCCTGTTGGGATCACATCTTGTTGACAAGATGTTCACGATTTTACATGTGTAGCTACCGGAGGCCAGTGCAAACCTGGTGCCTTGAGAATGATTTAGCCTATCAAAGTTTCTGTGATGACACTCATAGGAATATTGCATACTAGGTAAATTTTTGAAGTTTTGAAGGATTTGTAAGAAATGTTTGAGGAAACTGACTCGGTGTTAAACAACGCGTCATTCCCCTCAAAAATCTCTTACAAATCCTTCAAAACTTAGAATTTACCCATGCAAAATTCCTACTTTGATTACATAAACATCGATAGCAGAGATATAATATTTGACGTGGCTAAAGCCTGCAGGGTGAATACGGCTGTATAATAATCGTAGAGGCAAAAGATGGTCAAAGATAAGTTTATTCTTTAGGCTTTAGAAGAAAAATGGTTTTAAACTTGAACATATAAACATGCTTGTTAATTGATGTTATTGCGAGTCAATTCTAGTTAACGTTAGAGATGTTGTTTCCCGATAGAGATAGTAATGGTTCCAACATTCTCAACTTATGGAGCGGTGGCACTGAAGAGAAAGGGTTGGGTAAACAAAAATTCGAGTGAGTATAAGAGGTTGGGTAAATGAAATACAGAACAACTCAAGGGTTGGGTAATAAAAATTTATTGTCATTTCCAAAGCATGACCCACTCAAATATTGAAGACTAAATATAAGCAATGTCAACAGCCATATGTCAATACAATATGTGAATCAATCAGAGTCACTATCTTGATCATTTTCCGATTTGTCATGAGGCAAATGGTGTCTCCCAAGAAAATACATGTGCAGACAATATAAAACTTTAGTCTGCACAAGCTAAGCAGTTTTTAAACTCGTGTCACAGAAGTGGGAAAGGACATATATGTGACAACTGCACGTATCCTTTTGTAATTTTTTTTTGCCAGGGGTGGGTATGTATTTTTTAATTGATATTTGATGTTGGGTAAAAAAAATTCAGACTTTTTAATGGTTGGATGAGCAAAATGTTTACCAAGAAAAACATTTCTCTTCGGTGCAATCGCCCCCGCCATAAATATTGACCGCTCTTTTATTTTAAAATTTCAGAACATGTGTGTGTACAATGGTATATATGGCGTTAACCAAAATAATGGTTATATATACTGTAAGATCAAGTAAACCTATTAGTTTTATACAAATGATGGTGTATTGTAAAACGAAAGAGTTGGAACGAATCCTTTTATTAAAGGTTAGCTGTGTTAATGGCAACCTTAGTATTGTTCTATTTATATTACAAAAGTTAATGTAGTTTAGGCTTTTATGTTTTTTAAATTTAACATTTTGTCAAGGTTTGAATCAACCTCGTACCCAGGATCTTTCTTTGGGAAAGACCCTGGCTGCGGCTGGTCACGTGCCTCATCAAAAATTTAGCGCCCGAGGGGGTGTGGGGAAAGTATCAAATTACATAACATGCTTCCAGTTGGATATTCGTTAAAA